GGCTGCCAACTAGCTGCCAAGGGCTGCCTTTCTCTGATACCCCCTCATCCTCAGCACACAACAGCCTGCTTTTTTGGGGGAGGGGGGGAAGTGCTGTAGAGTAAGGGAGGGGCAGGTGGGGCAGTGAGTTGTCTTGTCCAGACCATCCCAGCAATCGTGACCACACCGTGAGTCCTCTTATTTGGCATTACTTGTAAAGGAGGAAGGAGGAGGGGGGAAGGGGAGGAGGAGGACTGTAGAGCCCTTGGTGCTCTTTGAGCTTGGAGGCTTCCTTGCAAATGTTTCATGACCCAACTAGGGAACATCATCCATACTAGAAGGGAGAGGGGTTTATGGAGAGGAAGAGGAAGGAGAAGGAGAAGAAGCTGCAGTCACCTCACTGGGGCAAAGAAGGAAACCTGGACCTTGGATGAAGAGCGGGTGGCCCCTTTAACCCAGCAGCTTCTGGCCCTCATGACCTGCCTTGCATAAGGTGGACACCTGGAAGCTCCCCAGCTGGCCCAGTCTCCCAGCCCCATTGCCCAACCCCTTTGCTCACCTGCTGTCTTGCCTGAGGACCGATGTCCAGAGTCCAACCCGGCTGGCCTGCCCCAGAGATGAGCTGCCCACAACTCCCTCCGTGCACTTGGGAGCCAGCCAAAGACACCCCCCCCAGCTCACATCACCCGCGGGAGCTTTTCACCAGTCGGCAAACACAAGAAGTGACAGTTCAAATGTTTTCCCTCGCTCATCGGGTGGAGGGTGCAACCCTTGGAGCGTGTCGGAGGAAGTGGTGCAAGGGAAGGTGGCTGCAGGTAGGCCAGGCTGTGCAAAGGGGAGAGGGCGGCGGCCGGAACATCAGGTTCTGCTGGAGCAGAGGCTGGCTTTGTGGCAAGGGAGGGGTTCAAGGAACGGCCCCCTCTTGACCAACCAGGGTTACTCAACCCAGGAAGGTAAAATTCAGGGAAACTAACCAAGGGCCTATTAGCCAAAAAAAAACACCCCACCCCGAGGCAGTTCAGGAAGGTCAGAGCAGATTAAACTCCTGACCAGGAAAAAGCAGAGCCTCAGTTCCAGCCACCAGCTGTGCTCCAGCTGCGCTTACAGCCCCACGTTCCTGCATTGAAGAAATAGAGTTATGGGGGGAGGTTCTTCTGAAGTCAGAGGCCCAAATGGTTTGGTATGTACGGTCACAGGATGTGTATCCCAATCTGTGGCACAGAGGCTGGATAAATTGCCAAGCCGTGGCAGATGAGGCAAGATGGAGCCTTTGGGGTCCCCAATTCCTGCCTGGGACGGAGAGATCAATCAAAGGGACTTTGGAGGTCTCCTAGCCCAACCCCGTTCGAGCAGGAGAACCTAGATACCATTTCAGACAAGTGATTGTCCATTCTCTTCTTAAAAACCTTCAGTGATGGAGCCCCCACAACTTCTGAAGGCAAAATGTCCCAGTGGGTAATTGCTCTCCCTGTTAGATGCAGCCACACCAACCAGCAAGAGCTGCGTAGAGCACTGGGAAGAGTTAATTCCCTGTGGGTGCATTTGTCTGAATTGACGGCTCTAGCTTGGCCCCAACCGTTGGAAGTGAAGGACTGAAGGACTGCCGTGGTGGTTGTGGGAGAGGTCTTCAGGTAGTGGGAGACCACTCAGAACAAAACCACCTTCCAGGGGGGGGGGGGTGGCAAACAGATAGGGATAGGCAGAGGTTCATAGACTCCTAGGGCTGGAAGAGTGCAACCCCCTGCCCAAGGAAGAAATCCTTATACCCCCTGGACAAATGGTTGGATCCAATGGAGAGACCAGATTAATTCCTGAGGTGGTACTGACCCAATTCACTGATGTCCTGTGAGGCCCAGAGAACCAAGAACGACACGAGGATTTACTTGAGAGTAGCTTCCTTGTTGTTCTTCCCCTACAGACAGAATCTTGCCAGACCGAAGCAACTATTTGCATAACTACCGATACACTCTGTGAATCGCTGATGTAACCCTCGTCATGCCACCCAAACTTTCCAAGCTCCGCTGCCTCTTTGCCCTCTGGGGAATCCTGACCATGTTCCACCCTAATCCAGTGACTCAGACCTAAAGCTGTTTTGGGAGGGGTGCAGGAGGGACGTCTCCTCAAAGACCAGTTTTATCCTGGTCTTGTGTAATGCGAGAGTTGGGCAGTCCTGGGAAAATATGGATTTGAGTAGCGGTGGTGAGGTTGCCCTGTCATCTCACAGGAAAGTGAGGCTATGCTACCTTCAAGGCACCTTTCCCGCCTGGGATCTATAAGGCTGTGCAGCCTATGAGAAAAGGGGCAGTGAAGAGGATGATGAAATAAATGAACCAATAACTCTGGAAAGAGTGCAGAGAAGAGCAACCAGGATGTTTAGGAGACTGGAGGCTGAAACATACGATGAACTGTTGCAGGAATTGGGCTAGTTTGATGAAAAGAAGGACCAGGGGAGACATGAGAGCAGTCTTCCAATATCTCAGGGGCTGCCACAAAGAAGAGGGAGTCAAGCTATTCTCCAAAGCACCTGAGGACAGGACAAGAAGCTGGTGGAAGCTTATCAAGGAAAGATCCTAGAACTAAGGAGAAACTTCCTGACAGAACTATTAACCAATGGAACTGCTTGCCTCCAGAACTCCAGAAGTTGTGGGCATTCCATCACTGGAGATTTTAAAGAAGAGATTGGACTACCATTTATCTGAAATACTATAGTGCCTCCTGCTTGAGCAGAGGTCTGTTCAACTGTTATTCTGTTAGTTAATCGGTGGAACAGCTTGCCACCAGAAGTTGTGGGTGCTCCATCACTGGAGATTTTAGAGACTGGGCAGCCATTTGTCTGAAATGGTATAGGTCAGGGGTCTCCAACCTTGGCAACTTTAAGCCTGGCAGACTTCCCCAGCCTGGGGAATTCTGGGGGTTGAAGTCCGCCTGGCTTAAAGTTGCCAAGGTTGGAGAGCCCTGGTGTGGGTTACTGTGTGATTCTGCTCTAGCCAGCCTTTAAGCAGGTGTGCCGGGATAATGGACCTGATTGGGCACGCAAATGTCTCACCATCCTAGCAGTCCTTGTAGTTGTGATGAGCCAGGTACCGACTTCACCACCTACCAAGTTTGGCTTGCTCAACTGATGAGTGGAAACAAGTATTTCCAACGCAAAGCCCTGCACACCACCTGTGGGATGGGGCACATGTGGGCCTGGGGCAATTCCCAGTACAGGAGCCCCACAGGTGAAGATGGGGGCTTTGCCCTGGGGCTTCAGTGATTCTTCAGGACTTGGTGGCCCACCAGCCAGAGGCTCAGAGGCTGAACAGATGGTTTGGATTCACCCCAGATGTTGAAATAGGAGTGGGAAATCCAGAGGCATGGGCTTGCTTGTCTCACCTGTCTAATTCTGGAGCAATGAAACCTACAACAAAACCCCCAAAGTCCGTACCAGTCCAGGCAGGGTCGCCCCCGCAACGGCTTGTACTTTGCTTGGTTGGGCTTCAAGTGATGTTCATGTTGCACGCATTTTTGACTCACGGGGCTGTGCCTGGTTACTGCAGGTGCCCCATACCTGGCAGCCAAGACCAAGTCCCCGGCCACTCCCAGTTCTGTGTGTGACACAAAACTTGTTTTCCCTGGCAGGTCTTGCACCAGGTTGAAGCCATTCGCCCTCTGCAAAGGAGACCGGAAATGCCCTTGAGAGTCTCTGCTGAGACACCTGAAGGCAGGACAAGCAGCAATGGAGGGAAACGATCAAGGACAGAAGCAGCCTAGAACTAAGGAAAAGAACTGGAGCAGCCTAGAACTAAGAAGAAATTGGACAACCGTTTGTCTGAAACGGTATAGTTCTTCCTGCCTGAGCAGGGGGTTGGACTAGAAGACCTCCAAGGTCCCTTCCGTATTCTGTACTTGCTGTTAGGTTTCAAGGATGCTGTCCAACTGCGCAAGGGAGGGGCTGCCTCTGCATCCAGTTCTTGTAATCTTGGGAACGGGGTTTGGTGGGTCTTGTTGGGGCAGGCTGGAGCCTTCTGTGATCAACGTAGGGCTATACTTACCCTTCTCTGCGTGTGAAATGTGTATTTCTGTTTAATTACACAAAGGGGTATACAGTGTAAATGGGACACTGGATTGCAGTCCCTCAAATGAAAGGCTGAAGAGGTTCTGGAGCAAGGGTGGGCAACCGGGCCCCTTCTCAACCTGTGGACTTCAACACCCAGAATTCCTGAGCTGGGCTGACTGGGGAATTCTGGGATTTAAAGCTGCCAAAGTTGGACACCCCTGCCTTAAAGCATCTTGACTGCATGAACCAAAAGCATGGCTGGGCTCAGGAATTCTGGGAATTGAAGTCCACAGGTTGCAAAGGGGCCACAGTTGCCGGCCTCTGTTCTGGAGTCTTTAGGGCCTCTTAGCAGAAGGTATCAAAGCGTCAATCACAGAATAACAGAGTTGGGAGGGACCTTAGAGGTCTTCTAGTCCAACCCCCCATATACATCAGGGAATAACAGGATGAATATAAATAACAGGCCATCAATGTATGTCAGAGGCTTGACTGAGGCCAAGGAGGAGAAGATACAGAAGAAATTGACTTCTCGTGGAGAAATCAGGAGGTGACTTGGTCACGTCAGATGCTCAAGGACGCTGCCCAGTCTTGACCAGTAATGGTTTCTCGGCTGTAAGTGAAAAGAGAGCCAGGCACAGAAGGAAGGAAAAAGGGAAGAGCTGTGGGCACCAGAGCTGAGGCCAAAGTCCTGGCCTTTTTGTCAGTGTCCATGTTAACATGTTGTGCAAACCTCTTCAGACTTTTAACAGAGGTGATTAAGCATGGCTGGCAGGGGAATTCTGGGAATTGAAGTCCACAGATCTTAAAGTGGCCAAGGATGGACACTCCCGGTTTATGAAGTCAGCCGCACTCCCCTCCCTGCCAGAGAGATGACCTCTGCCCCCCTCCTGCCTCCCCCACACCCAGAGTCCCAGCTATCACATCCCTTATTGATGGGATGCACAGAGGGCAGCTGAGACGCACAGAAACACAACTACCCGGGAGTTTTCCAAAATGCCTTTAATGATAGAAAAGGGGCAAAGCAGAAGCCGCTGCCTTCCCCGCTCACTCACTCCCAGGCTGCAAGGGGGAGGAGGGGGTCCTAATCCCCGGAAAGAGATTTTGCAGCCATCTACCCACCAAGACCGTGCAATAAGGCAACAGCAGCATGCCCCAAATGGGGGTTTACTGGCAGCTGGTCTCCCCCCACCACCACCTGAAGCAGGACCAGGCCTGGCAGGGCCACCCTGGCAGGGTCTGTGCCAAGGAGGAGGCCGGGAAGGGCAGCCTGTGGTGTCGTACGGAATGAGCCGAATTGTAGCTGCTGAGAGGGGGGAAGGTTGTATGGGGGCTGAGACTGAGAGGGGGTCCCTTTGGTGGGAGGAGAGAGAAAAGGCATCACCTGGGGGAGAGGGGTTTCATTTGCCCCTTTCTCTTCTCTTCAGTTGCAGCTCCCCAAATTCACGGCAGAGATGGAGCAGATCAAAGGCCGGCCCTGAAGGCGAAGACGGACAGATGAGACACCAAGCGATTAAAAAAAAAAAAAAACCCCTTCCATAGAGACAGAATGAAAAACACAGGAGCAAAAAGACAGAAGAGAGAAAAGGCTACGCTGATTTTTTTCCCCCGTCTGGTCAGGAAAGCTGCATTTTCACGTGCAATGAAGCTTTTCCAAATATACCAGGCCTGCCAGCCTGCCTTAGACCGAAAACCATCTTCCGGAAGGGCCTTTTGCTGCCAGGCCTTCGCTCTGCCCCGTTCCTTCAGGTAGGCGAGGGAAGATGCGGGATCCCTGACCAAAAAGGCCCAGGAACACAGGACCAAACAACCCTCTGGCATACAGCTGGTCCTCGATTTATGACCCAAAAGTTCTGTTGCTAAGTGAGACATTGGTTACATGAATTCCCCCCCATTTTACGACCTCTCTTGCCACAATTGTTAAGTGAATTGCTGCAGTTGATAAGCTAGTAACCCGGTTAAGTGAATCTGGCTTTCCCCACTGATCTTGCTGGTCAGAAGGTCGCTTGACCCCAGGCACTGCAACCGTCGTAAGTACGAGTCAGCAGAGGGATGTCAACCACAGGGATGTTGCAATGGTTGTAAGTGTGAAAAACAGTCATAAGTCCCTATTTTTAGTGGTGTTGTAACTTTGGTCCCTAAATGAACAGTCGTTAAGTCAAGGACTACCCGTAGTACAACCAAAGAGCCGACTCCAAAATGGGCAAACGGCGTGGCCAGGCACCTCTGAAGGCACACAAAATTGGGGGGGGGGGCAGCGCTTCACTAGAGGGATGACCAGCAGGAAAAGGAGGTCCTAATCCTAATCCATGGCTTTGGCCAGGCCCCATTCGGAATACGGTGTCCAGATCTGGAGACCTCGCTTATTTAAAAAAAAAGGCAATTGATAAGGTTGAGCGAGTCCAGAGACGGAGTCCAGAGACAGGCCACAAAAACGGTCCAAGGTCTGAGGACAAAACCTATCAGGAGGGATTGGAGGAACCGGATATGCACAGCCTGGAGGGCAGAAGGGAAAGGGGAGGGAGATCTTTAAATACGTTAGGGGTGTGAATAAAGGGGTATTTTACCCCAGAGAGCTTTTGCTTGGAGGCGAGTGGAAACCAGGCTTCCTGATTTGTTCTTGATTTTTGCTGAATATTGAAAATACGAGTGAAGGTGGATATGTGTGTCCCAGGATAATGTTGCAGGATCCAATATGGGTCAGTCCCCAGGACCAAAGACCTAGTCTTTTAAAACATAGGAAGAACAGGTGGAGGATCTGGGTTTGGCTAATCTAGAGAAAAGAAGGACTGGGGGGGGGGACGGGACATGGTAACAGTGTTCTAGTTTGAGGGGCTGCCCCAAAGAAGAGGAGGGGGTCCACCTATTCTCCAAAGCACCAGAAGGCAGGAGAAGAAGCAACGGATGGAAACTAATCAAGGAGAGAAGCAACCTGGAACTAAGGAGGAATTCCCTGACAGTGAGAACAATTAACCAATGGAACAACTTGCCTCCAGAAGTTGTGGATCCTCCATCACTGGAGGTCTTCAAAAAGAGATTGGATACAGCCATTTGTCTGAAATGGTTCAGTCTCCTGATTGAGCAGGGGATGGACTAGAAAACCTCCAAGGTCCCTTCCAGCTCGATTCTTGCTTGGATTGCAAGGAAAATGAAAGTTTCCCCGAACTGAGGTTCTGGGAGAAGAGAGGAAGGGGCTCGAGGGCTAAGGCCAGACCCCATAACTGCCATGATGGCCAAAAGACTGCTTTGGATCATGGTTTACTCCCCAAAAGGGGCTGGGTTGAAACATTGGCATGTTACCAAAATGAGAAAACTTCATTTTAGGAGCTCAGTCTTGCTCCGGACGGAAACCAAAGGTGACTGGAGGGCAGCTTGTAGGGAGGCAGAAACCCAGGCAAAGGGCATTTCCTCACTGAGGACTAGCAGCTTATGCTCCAAGCATCCCCTGTTTGCATCAGAGGAGAGCAAAATCACTTGCTTGCCCAGATCTTGCTTCCATGCAGTTAATCCTCCTTTCTCTGTATCCGGCAGGACCCCAGGATTTGGGAAAGTAAGACCAGCTCACCCCCCCACCCTCCAGAAGTGGGAAGGGATGGGCCACACTTTAAAGTGAGAGAGAGGCAAGAAAGGGGATTTTTGAGCAAGTCAAAAACATTTTCCCCCAATCTATAACTGGTTTTTTCCCCCCAAATTTGTCAACTTTAAGATGGGTGGACTTCAATTCCCAGAATTCCCCAGGAATTCTGGGAATTGGAAATCCACCCATCTTAAAGTTGCAGGTTCCCAACGGACCTCGGAAAAGACAGAGCACTCCTTTATTACTTGACCAGAGACAGAGAAGCCAACAGGATTAAAAATGAGCCATTAGAAAAATACACTGTCCAATTTTTACCAAAAAGAAAAAGAAAAAAAGAAAAGTATTGTGTAAAAAAAGGGGGGAGGAAATTCAGAGCTTGGAAAGGGAATGGATAGAAGGAAGTGGATTCCCACAACCAGCCAGGCACAGTCAGCACTAGAGCACTATGGGGAGGGTTCACCTGCCCTGGAGACCCCCCTGCTAAGGAGGTCAGGATCACCCCCAGCATTCTCCCTCCCACCTTCTGCCCTCTTAAAGCTAAGAAAAGATTGGACATTCATTTGTCTGGGGTGGTATAAGGCAGGGGGTTGGATAGAAGATCTCCAAGATCCCTTCTAGCCTTAAAATTCTTTGATATTCATTCTCTCTCTCTCTCTCTCACACACACACACACCCCTACCTGCCCTTGGGCACAAAGGGAAAGAGGTGAGCCTCTCCCCAAAGCTCAACTCACCCTGATATCACTTCACAGGCCGTTTGAAGGCTGGGAAAGCTGCCCCAAAGGCCTGCCAGTTCCTACCCCCTCCGATCCCCCAAGGCTTCCCCTCAGGGGCCTCCCAGCTGGCCCTTGCCTGCTGCGGAAGAGGCCTGGGGGGGGGGGGCTGCCAGGGCAATAGGCAGCCCCTGGGCTGAGGGCTATCGGCTTTGGGTTGCAGAAGGCACTCGGTCACCAAACGGAGCCAAAGAAAGGAAGAAGGCTGGCTCGCTGCTGCCATCCAATGATCCCCAGGGGTTTTGCAGCTGGAACTGCATGGGTGCTGACTGAAGACCTGGGCTGGCCTCCTTTCAGCGCATCCTGCAGCCAAAGAAAGCGAGCTGGAACACAGCCAGAGAGAAGGGCGGGGGCAGGCAGACCGGCTCACATGCCATCGCCGTATCTCTGCCTGGCACCCCCAGCCGATGCCTCCTGGGCATCACCACCCTCGGTGCCCAGACGCCAGGCCTATTTGTCCGCAGCACTCGAGCAGGGGGTTGGCCTAGATGACCTCCAAGGCCCCTTCCAACTCCGCTACTCCGCCGAGTGGGGCATTCAGCCCTCCCTGAGATCTCCAGGCCTAGAAAGGCAGCAGAAGAACATCGTTCCGATTCGGCTCGCCAGGGGCCGGGCTCTTCCCGCAAGGCAGGTGGGATTCCACCCCCAGGTGCAGACAGCTGGGGCCGCCAAATCACCCTCTCGACTGGACTCAGCACCAGGGACGCCGGCCCAGCCCGAGAGGAGTGGACTGCTCACATCAGCCGGCAGCATCGCCTCTTCTGGGCCGGCCTCTCTTCAGCCGGAGCAGTCAACTTGAGGAGGGGAGGGTCTCCGCTGGCTGCTGTAAAGTACACGGCGTTGGGCTCTGCCGGGGGGGCCGGAGGGGCCTCAGCGGGGCCGGGCGGGAGCTCTTCCGTGTGGGGCCGCTGCAGCTTGGCCGCTGCCCGCTGGCGCTTGAGGTCCGCTAAGGTGTGGTGGGCCTTCTCCTTGCTGAGGCCGGACGCCGGGTCTTCCTGGGCAGCCAGTTGGTAGGAAGCGGGGCGGTCCGGCCGCTTGGGGTAGAAGGGGTGAGGGGGGGCCGAGCCATTGCGCTCCTCTGGGCCTCCTGCTTCCGCTTCGGGGTCCTGCCGGGATGCAGAGAGGGAGGGTCTAAGCTGAGCAGAAGACAGGGATGCCATCAACACCCATTCTTGTGCTCACTGCAAGCATCTAGGGAGGGCAGCCTCTGAGGCTGGGGGTCGGGCCCCCCTGTAGAAAGGGGGAACCGGTTGCAGGCTCAGCTTAGGAGGCGAAGGAGAGGGGGACACAGACAGGAAGGGAGCCCCCTCTGCTCTGCCATCGCTTCCCCACCAGAAAAGTGTCAGGTTTCCATGTTTTGTGGGGGGCGAGCCTCCTTCCACGGTGAGGGCCAAAAGCCCCAGGGAAGGGCCTCGGCAGGGCCAGGGGGGAATCCGGAGATGACGTGGGGGGATTTCAAGCCAATGGGAACTACAGGTAGTCCTGGACTTACAACAGTTCATTTAGTGACCGTCCAAGATTGCAACGGCGCTGAAAAAAGGGACTTGGGCCGTTTTTCACACTCTCAACCACTGCAACGTCTCCGGGGTCACGTAATCAAAATTCAGAGGCTTGGCAACTGTCACGTACTTATGACGGTCACATGATCCCCTTTTGCGACCTTCTGACAAGTCAAGGCAAGGGGGAAGCCAGATTCACTTAACAACCGTGGCAAGAAAGGTCGCAAAATGGCTCAAAGTCCCCTTCACAAATGCTTCACTTAGCCACGTAAACTCTGGGCTGAATTGTGGTCGTAACTCAAGGACTACCTGTAAACGAAAGGCCGTTGATGAAGACCCTGGGACGGAGCCGAGGCTTTCCCAGAGATGCCGGCCCAAAGCCCTCGCTTGAGATGCCCCCGTCTGAGTCTGGGGTAAGAAAAGGGGGGAGGGGGAGGGGGCCAGGGAAGGGCTGGCTGGGCCCCCTCCATCTCGGAATCCCACCTGGACTTGGACCTGCCCGTCGGCCTGTCCGTCCTCGTCCTCCAGCTCTCCATCGCTCTGCCGCCGTTGCCACACGATGGCCTCCTTGGCATGCAGCTTCCGGTAGAGGTTGGTGCGCTGGGTCACGCTGACCCGCCTCACTACTTTCCTGTAAGGGGGGGAAGGAACAAGGCATAGTTGAGGGTCCCCCAGGGGCCTTGGAGCTCCTCCCCAACCCTCTTCATCCTCACCCTCCCTCTCTCCCTCCTTCTATCACTGAGGATGTTATCTAGTTTGGGTCATGAAACGTCTGCAAGAAAACCACCCAGCTCAGAAAGCACCAAGATCCCCACAGTTGTTGTCATCTGCTTCCTCCTCCTCCTCCTCCTCCTCCTCCTCCTCTCCCTGCCCTCTTGCTCTGGCCAAACCCAGTCTGCCCCCCCTCCCACCCGGCGCCTGGAGCCCACTGTTCTGGCCTAGGCTTCCTGAGAAAGCATAAATCACAATTTTAGTCCCCAAAAGCCTCTTCTCCTGAGACATAATGATTCACAAACAGCCTGTGAAGATTCCGACAGAGTCTTGAGTTGAGCTGACACAGTTGTTCAGGGTAATGTTGATAAGCGCCCACTTTTCTCTCCCTTGAAAGGCTGCCAGAGACCTAATTGCCAATTAGTTTTGCAAGGCCAAACAGAGCACAGAGTCAAACAGGATTTCTCAGGTTTAAATTGACTACATGAACTAATTGCGTCCATTTGCTCCTCTTCTATGTCTTATGGGAGGGGCCAATCATCTCCAAGCCTTACTCCCAAGTCGCCCTTTTTTTCCTTAATTGTCCTTGCCTTCTGGCAGCTCTGCACATGCGCACAGGCTCACACAGTTCTTCTGCCTCGCTGATGTCAGACTCCGGAGGCTCCAGAGGCAGCACATAACTCCCAGATGGCCCTGGCCCCCTCTCTGCCTCCGACGCAGAGCCCTCGTCCGAGCCTTCCCCAGACTCAGGGACTGGCCCATGGTCCTCCCCAGCCTCCTCACTCTCTGACTCCGGCCGCCGCCGGCCCACAACACCCACCCTCGGCTGCCGGCACTGGACGTCCGGCGCCGCAGCAGGGACTTCTGCTTGTCCTGGGATTTCATGATGGCATCCTGCTTGTGCTTCAGCTCCAGAAGTTTGGCCCGCACGTCTTCATTCGCACACACATCTGGCAGGGGGAGAGAGAAGCAGCCTCAGTGCCGCCCCAAAGCCTCTTCGCACTCGAGGGGCCCCTAGACGAAGACGGTTCTCTCTGAACATTTCACCCATTTTCTAGATTTCCAGAAACTGCCCAAACCAGCTGGCTTCCCTCCATTCTCCAAGCCCAGGGCGACACGAATTAAGCTAAACGTGTGAATGGAGTGACTAGATGTTAAGAGGCCTGGCTAGGGCATGTTGGGTGAACCCAGTCATGCTTTTCCCTTGTTACTCTCTTGCCTCCCCAACTGTAGAAAATTGGGGGGGGGGGGTTTAAAATCACTGGTTCAATACAAGCAACCACAAAAGGTAACAGACAAAACTCAGTTCCAATCTTCCTCCCTTCTGTTCACCAAAAGTCTTCTCCGAGATCTTCTTCTCAAGCAGGTGAGTAAATTATGCTCATTGCAATGGGGTTTTTTCCTTCTTGGGGGGAGGGGGGTCCCTGGTGCTCTGGGTAACATCCTCAGTGTTGGAAGGGAGTGGGATTGGCTCTCTGATTATATGCAAGAGACTTGCCCCCCCCCCCTCTCTATATATATAAACAGAGAGGTCAGGAAACGTCTGCCAGGAGACCACCAAGCTCAGAGACCACCCGGGGCTCCCCAGCTGGGCCCTGAGCTACAAATACCTTCTCTTCTTGGTGTGTTTTCCCTTCTGCACCACAGCTGTATTAGCAGGAGGAGGGTGCTCATTCTAGACACGGAGGCCCTGCAGGGTTAACAGCCCAGTTCTGGCCTGCTTAGGGGGCACCTGAGCCTGCCCAGAAGGTCCGGATGGGAGGCCAAGGCCGCCCCCGTCCTCCCCTGCCCCTCCCTCCAGCTCCTCTTGCTCACCCAGCGGGCTCTCCTCCAACACCGACTTCCCGTTGAGATCTGCTCCGTGGGCCACCAGCAGCTCCACCAAGTGGATCTGTCAGCCACAGAAAAAGGGGTTCAGGGGAGGGAGACCCCAGGCCGGGCATGAAGGGGAGATCCAACCTCTGGGAATTCAGGGCCTGGGTTGGTTCCCCCTGACCCACAATTGCCTGGGTAAGAAAGAGGCCCCTCAGCTGGCTTAGTCCTGTGAGGGCACCAGCTGGGCAGGCACCCCACCTGAAGGCCCCCGGGAGGAGTGAGCAGCACTCACCTGGCCCCAGCAAGCGGCGGCATGAAGTGGCTGCCACCCGTCCTCGTCTTTGGCGCTCAGGCTGGCCTGATGTTCTATCAAGAGCTCCGCAGCTTCCAAGTAGCCGTTGGCTGAAGCGATGTGCAGCTGTGGGGCAGGAAAAGGAGAGGCTGGTCCTTTGGGAAGAGAGGGACGCGCAGGGGCGGGCAGGCAAGTGGCTGAGCCTCACCTGAGCCGCACGGGGGGCCTCGTAAGGCTAAGCTGAGGTGGACCGAGTCCCACGGGCCTGGGCAAGGAAGAGCCGCCAGCGCCCAGGCCAGCTTCTACCCTGCTCCTGCGGCTATCTCAGAAGGAAAGAAAGCACAGGTGTTTTGCAGAGAAAGCTTGGAGGGAGGAAAGAAAGAGGGATGGATGGATATATGGATGGATGGATGGATGGGAGGGAGGGAGGAAGAAAGGAAGGAGGAGAATGGGAGGAAGAAAAGAGGGAGGGAGGGAGGGAGGGAGGGAGGGAAGGAAGGAAGGAAGGAAGGAAGGAAGGAGGAAGGAAGGAAGGAAGGAAGGAAGGAAGGAAGGAAGGAAGGAAGGAAGGAAGGAAGGAAGGAAGGAAGGAAGATAGGAAGATTCAGGAGGACTTCTCCATCCCCCAAGTCACCCCAGAGTCCCAGATTCCCCTCACCAGGGTGGCCTTGTGGTCCAGAGGGGTGTCCAAATTGACTCCTTCCTTCACCAGCCGGTGGATGTCCTTCACCATGGTGGCCTCCACGGCTGAGCGAGCCTCCTCAATGGTGGCCTGGGTGATCTCTAAGGGGAGGAAGAGCAGCTGAGAGTCAGGAAAGGGGGCAGCAGCCAAATAATGTAGGATGTTCTGATGCAGATCCGGTTCACGCTCAGAAGAGGCGCCCTCCTCAGTTTAAGACGCTTCTTCTTCCAATCAAGGAGAATATGGGTTGAAATGAGGGGTCCTTGGTGCTCGCAAGGCTTGGTGGTTTTCTTGCAGACGTTGCATGACCCAGCTAGATCATATAATCAATGCTGGAAGGGAGTGGGGTCTGAGGGGAGGAGGAGGAGGAAGAAGAAGAGGAGGACTGTGAAGTCCTTGGTGCTCTCTGAGCTTGGATGTCTTCTTGCAAATGTTTCATTTCCCAACTAGGTAACATTATCAGTGCTAGAAGGGGGCAAGAGGGGAGGAGGAGGAGGGAGGAGGAGGACGACTATGGGGTCCCAGGTGTTCTCTGAGCTCTGTGGTCTCCTTGCAGGCGTTTCATTACCCAACTAGGTAACAACATCAGTGCTTAAGGGACTGAGGTTTGCAGAGAGAAGGACGACTGTGGGGGTTTTCGTGCTCTCTGAACTGAGTGGTTTTCTTTCAGACGTTTCATTATCCAAATTAGGGAACATCATCCGTGCTAGGAGGGAGAGGGGTTTGCTCTCATTCGTATATACTAGTGAGTAGATAAACTAGTCGGTTTATATACCAAAAGTAAGAGAATCCCCACTCCCTACCAGCACTGATGATGTTACCTAGTTGGGTCATGAAACGTCTGCAAGGAAACAACCAGCTCAGAGAGCACCCAGGATCCCTGGGTTTCTTCGTCATTCGTATGTGTCTCTCCAGAGTTGGGGCTGGGGTGCTGCTGAAGGACCGCTGCTTCCACCCCTCCCTGTAGACTGCCCAGC